TAAAGAAAATAAGGAACAATAAGATCTTTAGTAGGTGGCTTTGCCCAAGTGAATTAGCCAAAATGGAATGAGGTGGCAGCTTGTATAATATCTTAATGCTTTTGATCAATAATAATCTCTCACCGTAGTCTGTTAGAAGATCTGTCAGAAGCTGGGGAACAAGGCCTCTGACAATYAATGTTTGAATCATGACTTGTTTATGTTCAGTACTTTCATGAGCCTCATTCTTTGCCATCTATTCCCATCCTTCTCTAATGTTTAGTGATAAGAAAGAATGCCCTATTCATTCTGCATTTCTCACTGGTTGCTACACAGAGAGMGAGAGGGAGGCTCTACAGGCATTGAATAAAAAGCACATCTCTTTCTGAGAGGCAGCGATGAGCACGGTAGAAGATAATTATTGATTTGAAATAAGAAAAGATAAGGCTCAACCTTGAGCAGCTCAGCGATAGCACAGAGAACAGAATAATTAATGGACCTGTCTTGTGTTGGGACAAGCTTTCACACTGAGACGAGCGTATTGATTTTAAACAGATAAACTGCGTAACCCTTTGTGAAGGGTTTGACAAACAATTTAATTGGGGAGGAAAAACAACAATATTCCTCACCCTTTCCATCTCCCTTTCATCACGTCCCCGAGCTGTTTTCTTTTTTCGCTTTTTCTCGACCCGACCTATGGAAACAATTACTGTGCATCAGGCCTTGTTCTGCCTCCAGACTACCAAGGATGGCTGGTGTAGGATGCATGCACTGATTGGGGGATCTAATCAATGGCGGGACTTGTCTCCACTCCAGATGCCTGTGTTGAAACTAGGATTACCAGAGCCTTTTTAGCTGTACTACTCCATCTCTGCTTCTGTCAGATAGAGAGACGATGGATCTGCCTGTTTAAATGTACCTGCCTGCAATAGTTGAGGCAGAGATAATTTACTGTTCCTACACAACCCACCTCCTTCCTAATCCCCGAAGGAGGGCAGCCAAAAGAGCCCCAGTCCTCTCACTTCTTCCCTTGCCCTCCCCTGATTAGCAGTCGTGGCCRTTTGATCATGTTTTCCTGCCTGTCCTTGTGATTTGTAAGCTGTTTAAATGCGAACGAGGCAATTAAATAAGAACGAACGGTGCGTAGGAGAGTGGGTGCAGCGGTGATCATTAACAATGAATTACCCCGGTGTGCACTCAAACACTCGGGAGGACGTTCAGGCGGACCACTCCGGAGGATCCAGATCCAATCTTCCCATTGATTAACAGAGACTTGTTCTTCCTGTGAAATCACTCGACGGGGATTTCAGTGCTCTCATCTGGTCTTATCGAGATAGGCTAACATCAAAGGCGAATGAAGAGGGATTCGGTAAATGGGCTCGCCTTGCCCTCCGTGTAAGAGACTTAGAGGAGCAAATCTTGAATTATTGCCTCATGTAAATAATCTACTTGGCTTGTTTCTGTTTTGGAGGAGCGGGGTTAAAGAGGAACTCATGAGTCATTCGAAGCAAAGAACACTCAAAGTACTTTGGAGGCTCTCATGTTTCCCTTGATGGGAAACAACGGTGGGGGCTCCATCCCCAGGAATGTAAACAACACAATGTTCCAGAGTTGCGCGATCTGTACTTGTTGAATGTGTTAATCTRAGATGTGGAGATATTAACTTTGGGAGGAAGATGCTCACATCCTCTGAATACAARTATTGTATTCAGTAGCCTGATTTGTCTAATTGGGATATGATTTGATCTAAGTTAAATAAATGAGTGCCACAATTAGTCTCAGATTGGGAGGTATGAAATTGGAAAATTGCACAGTGCCTGTAGTTAAAAGTGGCATTTAACCAGCATGTCACAGGCAGCCTCTTGTACAGCTCTCATTGTATAACAGACTGACCATACTTTAGTGGAATTCATGGCATAGTTGAAATTGCTCTTCCATTGAACAACACCAGCAGGTTTTTTAAAAAGCGGAGGTTACTAGCTGAGGACATTTTGTTCAAAACAATTTCTTTTCCTCTGCGCCCTCCTATCACCGAGTGAGCTCAGGTCTGCAGTGGATAGAAAGGGATTTTCTATCCCTAAATGGCCACGGGGGCYGTTTACGGTGTCACTGCTGTGGGATCACATGATGTTTGAGGGTGTAAAGGTCTCGAGGCAGCTGCTCCTTTTCGGATGGGATTTTTCTAGGCTTCCGAGACCAGGGCCTCATGCTGTCTGCACTGAAAGGTGGAGCAAATACTTCTAGTGAAAAAAAAAGGTTCTCAAATCCTCTGAAGCTGTATATCTATTTGAAATGGGTCTGGAGTCCCTCGCTTGCCTTCATGTTATAAACACCCACAGTGCTCAAATTCCTCTTTTGTCAAGGAGTCAAAACAGGTGTCTCAGGAACGATTTCTCTCCCCCCTCCCGCTTAGCATATTTTCCACTTGCATGAAAAGTTTTATTTTTTTTATTAGGAACACTCTGCCCTGGGTAGACTTCTTGCCTTGAGACATGATATGTCGACTTTCTTTGAACCAGTAAAGGTTACTTTCACACCAGCTCAAAATTCAGCCATGCCAAGTTAAACCAGGTTGTGCTTAAGTATTGAACTCCTTTGACACACATGTTGTTCAGTCACGACACACTTTGCATACAGATTACTCCTGTTTTCCTGCCAATATTTACAGATGATGTGACACATTTCTATCCAAGACAAATTTCATCTCACTCCTTTTTCAAATGTCAACTCCCTCCCCAAAATGTCTTGAAATCCTGAAACGCTTTGGAACCACCTGACCACTTTAGGATCGCACTGAATCATTTTCAGCTCATTTTGCTCTGATTATTATCGCCTGTTGCTGAAAGCCCAAGGTGGAGGGGTAATGTTTTTACCTGTGTGCGAACATGTGAACAAGTGAACAAGTGAACGAATTTTTCTGAAACTCACAGAAAGTAATCCCTGGATGTATAAAACTGATAACTTTTGGAGTCAATCCAAATCAAGATGGCTGCCAACTGACTTTAGCAAATACAAAATATGGCTAGAACTTGGTCAGTTTTACAAATACGGAGTTATAATTTGATGCAATAGTCGCGGTGAGTCATTCACAACACATATTTTGAGCGTGACCCTTTACAGCATTCCATTAGGTTACACATAATGTTCATTTCAAGGGTCGTCTAAAACCACTCTATTATTTTTCAACATAAAATGATCTGAGTTTAATGTTCTGCACCGAAAGGTGGTGAGCGATATGCAATCCTTTAAGGAACTGAAATTACACGCAACACCAATGGGAGTAGTATAGTTTTTAACATAAATGTAAACACAAATGCAAATGGACAGCCTTCATTTGACAGTCTTTGATGTTGGGTCATTTGCCTTAACAGGGTGGACATGTTTATATAGATACCCCCCTCAGGAGGCTGTTTGTATGAACTTTATGGAGAATACACATTATTCACGTTCCCAGCTTCTAAGACAAAATTTCTGTCTTGCMGCGTGGCCCAGCTTTGCGTCACGTTACAAAGCAACATTAAAGCTATTTATGTTAGAAATGGTAACGTGAAGCGAAGACACAAAAAAGCATAGAACTACATTCAGAATTTMTCTGTAGACCTAAGTGTGTTCCTGTGTTTGAAAACCCTGCATTTGTTTACTCCTCCTTCCCCAGGGTAATGCTTTTTTTTTTTTTTTGACTCATTGTGTTTAGTCTGAAACTGTTTTTTTCTAAACTTTGCCATGTGTTTCATCTAGAGGTGGACTTTTCCTATATATAAGTTGCGTAGTTCTCCAGTTTTGGTGTGCCAGGATATTGTAAAGTGTGTTTTAATAACCTAAACACACAAGTTATTTATTATTGATTATTTATGTGTTTTTTTAAAAAAAAAATGCTATAATTAGCTTTGGAGAACCATCAAACAACTCAGATTTAACCCTGTTTGATGTTAAGCTGATATGTGAGATATGACCTCAGCTTGTACAGTCTTTGTTATGAATTCAGTCTTATTGAGCTAATGGCTATTTAGAGTGGGGTTTAGACAGTGGTTGTCCCCAAGGGAACACATTTTGGAATGATCATTTTTGCTGTAAAGTGAACATATCATGCTGTTATAGCCWTCTTTTTCACATTTAAATCATTCATTTGTGTTCTATATAAAGTKGAACTGCAATGATTTGGTCTTAATTATTGTAACTCCACAAGCCCCTCTTTCACTGTATTCTGAGGTGTGTCTCAGATCAACTCGTTTTAATGCTGTCTCTTTAAATCCAAATGAGGTGCTTTACCCTACCCCCCTCCAGCTTCCAGAYCGGTCCATTGTATCTTGATAGAGGGGTTTACGACTATATAGTGTTACAGAAACTTTTTTATTTACAAATGAATTAAAAGATGTCAACAAGAGGAAGACCTGTCCATCCAGCCTTACAGTACATGTTGGAGCCTGAGTCTGACCCAGAGACATAAGAGAATGAAGATGACCACTTTGATTAGTTGGTAATTCCAGACCTTATTTAGAAGTTCCATCGCATRTACTGTGACCTAATAGTTCARAAAACGTAAAAGAGATTAGAGAAAACTGAACTGGTTGAAAACTATGGCCCAAAAAGAATATAAAGGTATAAACATAGCACTGGGAGAAACTAAATTCAAATTTTCTGCACTTTTAGAGACTCCAAGTACGAAATGGATTTACTGTCTGAAACAGTGGATTTTGTATATGTCCTATTTTAAAATCCCCAAAATAGTATTTAGAAACTGATGATGTCATAACACCACCTGCTTATGTTTACGTTTTGYACCCAAGCTTTATTCCCACGCTCCACACCTTGTTTCCTGTTTTTGGTGTATCTTTGTAGCAGAGTTACAGYGCCACACACAGGCCTGTTGTAGTTACTGCARTTTTATAGGTAATTCCTTTCTAGAAACAATGCAGAATATTCAAAAATATAAAAAACAACAACAAATAAAATAGGTTTTGCTAATTTGTCTGGACTGATATCGATTTCAACTTCAGCTTGACTTTCTGTTTTTATTTCAGGTTTACCGAAATCGTCAAGAGAAAGAAGGTGGAATACCACGCTGGCGGTTCTACCCAGAACTCTGTGAAAATTGCTCAGGTTAGTCTCCTCGGCTGACTGCAGTGTGCCTGAATGTGTTTTGAATATACAGTGGTGTGCTTGTAACCTTAGATTTGTCTGCCTGGCAGCTCTGGGAATACAGAGCATAGCTGCACAGCACATTGACACATTACAGCTCGGGCTGTTGTGAATTCATCAGACCTGCCATGAAAAAAGAGAAAAAAAGGCGGGGAGGATTAATAATATTTACAGTGTTATCTAGTTGGCCTAATTTCCTGAGACAYATCAAGCATCAATTAGAGAGAATTACAAGTAGATGCAATTAACGTGTCACAACAAATTACATCCAACAAATGCTGATCTTCTCTCTGGCTGTTAGACAGATTTGAGCATCTAAAAGAAATTGTTGATTGTTCAAATCTGAAATGACAATCTGAACTTTAGAAGATTATTCACTAATTCCTCCTTTTTTAAACATTTTTTTATGTGACTGCAGCAAAGTCTTTGAATTTGACATGCGGTGATTAGMTGCTGATAAGGCTTCGGTCTGCTCACAATAAACAAAGAAAAGGCATCCAGCTGAAAAATAATTCTCTTCCAAGGAAGGGGGAATGAGTGCAGAAGCTAATTGAGAGGCTGATGTCTGTGAAAACAGCAAGTCTTTGTTGTGTGTGTGTGTGTGTGTGTTTTTTAACATGTTAGCTCAGTGTGCAGAATTTGTATATATACTCATGAGTGTTTTTGTGTGTATTTATCAAAAGACAGATACAGAGCTCGGGAAAAGAAAGTAGGCAGGCCCTTAGGCAGTCACCATCTCTGTGCTTAAGAGACAGTAAACATCCTTTAAAGAGAAACGCGTAGCTGTGCACCTCCATACAAACACTCTTTAATTATCAAGATCACAAGCGTTTGCATAAAACTGTCTCTTACAGACATTAACTGTCAGCAAGGTTTTCTTCTCTGGGCAACGTCGTCTCCTTTTTTATTTTTTAATAAAAAGAAGAAAATCCTGCATTCTGGATGCRGTTAGCGCCTTCTTTTCTTCTTTTCAGGCTTTAGAAATATAATCGCAAATTTTTCAACAGGCTATTTCCCCATCTCTCGTTATAAATCTGGCTACAGAAAAGGCACGCTTTCGGTTTGATCCCTTCCAGTTAAGACACACGTGTTGATGGTGATTTTTCATGTTTTATTTAAGAGGAGGCTATCCGGCTCGCCCCCCCCCGAGCTGCAAATCAACTCCCTCGTGAAATTAGATGGCTAAAGAGATTTTCATTGCTGGCCCCCCTCGCTAAAGACGTGAGCCGTCATGGSCCTTCTTCTCCCTGTGCCCCGAGAGAAGCGATCAGCCAACTAAATTGGTCTCGTATCAGCATAGCAGGCTCTAGTCAAATGTTATTCTACTCTGTTTATTTGGATATTTACCCCCTTCTGAGTAAAGATGTAGAGCTGATTCTGAAATGCTCGAGATAACAAGAGCGTTTTCGTCCCACACCCCGGAGTCTCGCAAACTGTTTGTGTCAATATATACCATAAAGCCCCGACTTTTCCACATTCCACTTTCAGTTTACAGTGTCCTTTTTATAGGGGGGGCGGAATGTATAATGCATAACTGGCTCCCAGATTATCACATTGTAGCACCTGCAATATGTGAAACTTCAAACCCGGCTGTATTGTGGAAGCTGAACCTTCAAACACAAATGATATGCACTGCAGCTCTGAATTCACATCAAAGGGGCCCGGCGACTAAATGAGATGCTCGATCCGGGGCAGGTTTGCTCGCCATCGTCGCTGGAGGAAGGAGAGAGAGMGMGAGWGAGAGAGAGAGAGAGAGAGGGGTGTTCAGAGGCTTTGCACAGGAATCGCCTCACATGCTGGGAAAAACCCAAGGTGTGGGAGGATCGGCGGCTTCGCCAAGTAGAACTCCTACTTCCTACTTCATCTGAGGACGTAATAGGTTAAACTCTGATGTTTCATGTGTGATTTCTGCAAAATCTAAGCCTCAACTTTAGCAGAWTGGACGGTAATTAGATTTAGGCAAATGAGAACTGACCAAAAAAAAGCTTGGTTGGATAAATATTGATTAATTACTGCCTCAGCCTTACTCTTTGATTGATGCAATATTTGCTGTTAATCTGTGGGTTACATTTTCAGCGTTTGCATCCCTATTCTTAATCAAATCAAACATTGTAACAAGATAGGGGCCTTTTAAGTGGATGTATCAGTATCCAAGTTGAGCACAAATGCCTYTGAATTAGCCACAGATCTTGTTCAGATCAAGACTGTGAACCCACAAGCATCTATGCAGAGCTTTCTGGCTCTGATTCTTTAGAGGAGAAGGGGGAAATAAAAGGTGCTGTGATAGAAGTGGGTTGGAGGTTTCTGCTTTTTTGCCCTGGCTCTAACAAAYACCATGCCCTGAAGGGGCATCCAACATAAAGGCTTACTTTCTSGATGTTGCAGGGCTGTAACGTAACAAAAACCAGCCCAGTGTTGCCCACAGCCTCACACATCAAAGAGCTTTTACTCGGATAAAGCCGAGCGGAAAACAACAATTATATATATATATATTTCTTCAGTTATTTACAAACTCAAAGCAGGGGGTGGGGTTCTGAGCATGCGATCCAAAATTTGGTATTGCCGAGCACTCGTGGTGTTTATCACAGGTGGCAGGATTGGCGGGGGGGTGGTGGGTGGACTGCGGGGCTGTATCAAGCAGCACAGTCAATTCATTTAGACAGAACATCAAAGTCCTCCAACAGCTCCTAAGGGCCCAGAGATTGAAGCCTGAGCAGAGACAGGCTCACAGGGAGTTATTGCTGCTGTGAGTGAAGTAGATCCTGCTCTGACTGCCTCGTGTAAACTATGCACCCTCATTAGGTTCCCCACAAATCAACATCATTGACGTATTGTATTTCTTTGCACTGTAAGTAGGCTTTGTACGCATTTACCCAGTGGACAAATGGCTTCGTCTAAAGTGCCTTAGCTGTAAATGTGTCACAAAAAAAAGTTATGATTAATTGCGTTCCCTTTTCTCTGTTTAGACTTTGTGCATTTTTTTATTTATTTTTTTGTTAGCAGTCTACATAATCAATTCATTGCGGCGTCTTAATTATTGTTTAGAGAGCAAAGGCTTTTGAAAAATCTGCTGTCTCTGTCATGGGTTTCGATGCCTGTTTAACATTTCCTGAGACTTGGTCAATCGTGGAAAAGGGTGAATGGGGCCCAACTCGGGCTGTCGGCTCCGAGCGCCTAATTGGAAACGCATGTGCGCCACACTGCTGAAAGTTGTATTTGAATAGCAGCGAAGTCCCACCGCACCACTTGACTTTGAGAAAGTTCCTGACCAGCTCATATTTTTGCAGGAGAATGCCTCAACTGGTTTTGATGTCTCACTGAAGGCAGTGAGTTATTTCTCCGGGTGAAAATGTTCCATGACCTAATGTTTGGCTTTTGCCGCTCGTTTTGTAAAATAAATAAAGAATGGCGACTTGCCTCCATTCGAACGGGGCTAAATGAAGAAATACCTACGTCTGGTACCACTTAGAGGAAAAGAGGACAGTTAAGGGGAAAGAGTGGAGCTTTTGTGTTCAAGCTTAGTGACCTGACTTTTGGTAGGATGTGCCTATGTACGCTAAAAGGGGGCATTTATAATTTTTCTGTCACTTTCTGTTTATACTTTCTTCTTCCACACTTAATGATCAACATTAGAACAAATGCTCTTTGTCTGGTAAAAGACCAGGGGGTTGTGGGCGTAGCGGGGGTGTCTTGTGAGACATTTGATACTCGCTCATTCTAGAGTTTCTGAGGTTTTTGATCGAATTAAGTGAGTTTGCGCATGCATGGATCGCAGCACAGCTGTGCTGAAATAAGCACACTAATGACCGATTAAAGCCTGAACCCTGGTGGGCCTTTTGAGTTTCGTGCCATGGAAATCAAGCCTCTCAAGTGTTTGCCTGTTGGTGAAGCAAAACCCTCTTGTTTGTTTTAAGGCAGGTTAATTGCAGAACCACTGTTGGCTTCCACTCTGAGCTGTTTTATGGCACCGAGGTCTTGTTGTTTCCTTCCCATTACGAAGCAGGGAAAGGTCACAGTCTGTTAAGCTTCTCGTGAGAAACGCACGAATCCAAATGGATTTTTTTCATTTTTTTTTCAATTGTTTTATTTCCCATCTCCACTCACTCAACATTCCAGGCGTGCAAGTGTGCGCTTGAAGAGGGGCCGACATTGTTTTTCCTGGGCGCGAGAAAGCAACGAACGCCTCATTCGCTTTGATGAGCGATGTGTTCAAGCGTGGGCTTCAATGTCACCCGCCATGAAGCAGCTGTGAAGCCGCGGTTCACGTCTCGCGCTGCCATTTACTCGGTGATGAAGTGCGGAGACCTCCGTTGGCTCCACGTTCACCTCCCCTTTCACACACGCGTGCACACACTTGTCTGAGCACGAGTTCCTCCCACCTCAACTGTATTGTGACTGTGTGTCACAGCTAATACCAGTGTTCATTAAATCTGGAGCGTTGCGATCGCGGTGATAAAGGAGCAGTTGTGCGGGGTTTCATCCAGAGTTGTAAAGTAACGAAGTACAAATACTTTGTTACTGTACTTAAGCAGAATTTTTTGGTATCTGAACTTTACTTGAGTAATTATTTTTCAGCCTATTTTTTACTTCTCCTTCTTACATTTTCACACAATTATCTGTACTTTCTACTCTTTACATTTTTTAAAAAGGCAAGAAGTAGAAAGTCGTTGCTTTAATTTAATATTTGCTTGTTTTCATTCCAGACTGTTATTGTAAAAAATAAATACTGTCCATGTAAATTGTGCCTCCTAGAGTGAATTTAATTGTGGTTGAATGAGAAGTATAAATATACAAATTCTGATACCGTATTAGTTTKTACACAAACAAATCATGTCACACTCCAGCAGGACATAATCATTAAAATAAAAGTACTGTACTTAAGAAGTATTTGTATTTCATGAATTATATTATTGCATTTGGCCACAGCCAAAGATAGATTTTTATTTTGGGGAGAAGTTTTG